CAAAATGCTCTCCACCATTAAATTCACTGCAGCGCAGGGGCTCTGTGTCAGTTGGCATCGTTGGGCAACTGTGACATGAACACCAGCATTTACTGTTGACTCTCAGCGGGAATCTCCTCCTAACCTGCGGCGGCTGGCTGACTGCCGGCCTGCGTCTCTGCTGCTGCTGCCTGGCCTCGGTGCACACTCCGACCTGTGTGACTTACCCCCAATGCCTGGTTAAGATGTAATATGCACCCCAGAAATCATCCTGATGATATTTTATGGTCAGAAATGTCTGGAAATGAAGACAAGGAATAAGCTGGCTGCAAGGATAAAAAGGCAGGAAGCATTTCCACAAGTAGGACAGACGGACTCCCAAAATCTTCCATATTAAATATATAAATATGATCTTATGAAATCATCATCTAATCATATAAACAAGTTATGTAAAATAAATAAATGAACCAAAAAATTGTGAAATAACTGAATTCATAAATAACAGCCACCTCTTTATTATGAAATCCTATTGCATCATTCTTATTTTTATCTAGTTTATTTCATTCTAGCGGTCCTTTATAATGGTATTTTTCTTAATGACACTTTTATTTCATAATGACAAACTTACTAAATAAAGTTACTTCAATGACAGTGGAGTTGTCACCAATCATCGCCCCCCTCACCTTTCAACCAAACACGTAGCAGCCCATTTTCAGAAGGACTGGGTTTTGCTCAAAAAGAACTAGAATTAGTTGTGTCAGGTAAAAAAAAAAAAAAAAAAAAGTTTAAACTCCTGCCTTTGTCACCTCCACACACCTGGAACAATCATTGTGTGAAATGGGCGTGAATGTTGAATTGTTGGTTTTGGAAATTTACAGAAATTACTTTTTGACTATGTGAGAGGCACTAGCCTAACCCTCCTCACAATCTCACAAACCAGTGTAGCCAGTAATATGAGCAGCTAGCTACAGCAGCATGTGTAACCTTGTTAAGCAAAACAAGAGGAAATGTTAGATTCTGTCCCTGTACACTGTATTTATTATGGTCATGATGAAAAAACAATGTCTTATAATTTCTTACTTTACTCATTTATTGGTTTATTTAATATTTAGACAATTTATTCAAGTGGATATTTATTTCATTACGTCTTGTATATTTAGTAGTGAACACTTGTGGCTCCATAGCATATATATACAGATAAAATTGTGATTGATTTCCTTTTAACAATAGCTTCTCTCTGGGCACAACCTTGGTGTTATTGCTGGATTAAAGTTTAAGCATTAAGTACACTTAAGCACTAAGTACTTTACACTTGCTGCTCAGGGGAAGTTCTTTAAATGTCTTGACTGCCTGCACAGAATAGTTGTATTTGACGTCTGAGAGGAGAGGCGTGATATCCACCCTGAGCTATTAGTCCCCACAGATACAGTAGAAACTTTGTCTGGGTGTGTTTTACTCTGCTGCTGAAAAACTGAAGACTGCATCCTCAGTGATGGGAATGAGCTGTTCATTACGGCGCTGACCTGTCAACACTCACGACAATGTTATTTTAACATCCACCTTTAATGTGCAAATCTTTGTTCTCATGTTAATGACCAAATTGGTCATGTGTTGTTGTAAGTTGTTATAGCAACTGTTTTTTCTTAGTTTACAGTGTCAGGAGCCAAAGATGTGGAGAGATTGTTTAGTATTTTCATTGACTCATTGAGCATCTTCACACCTCCAATTAAATGTGTTTGCAGAAGCAAGCATTTTCAATTTACTCTTTAACTTATTTAATTACATACTGCTTAGTCTGTGTAGCTGTACTGTATGTAGACGAAAAAAAAGGGACTTCTGGAAGTTTGTCTGGTGGAATCATTTAAATGTGAACTGAGTCTAAATACAGTTTTCACAGGATTGCACCTGGCATCATCATGCATCTTTTTAGAGAAGAAGCTTCTGTTTAGCTCTTTTTTGGGCTGAGCTGAGGGAACATATCTTGGACTTCTACAAATGAAAGTAGGTTGTTTGAATCCACAACTGGCCCGAATGTGGGGCTGTTCTCTTTCAAAATATAATTCATGGAATAATAGTCTTGGAGAAAAACTGCCTCTCAATCAATCTGCTCTCCATTTCCATTCATTTGCTGAACTTTAAAGCTCCAAAATTAGTTACTCCTTGTCTCTGCTGGAAACATTTTAATCTTCAAAAACATCACCTTAAGCATAATTATGTCTCTGTTACTCCAAAAGCAGAGGGGGCAGAGTATGGGTTTGTCCGAGCTGTGCCCACATGTGATATCCCTAATAACATGGATATAATGAAAGGATATGTGCTATACTCCAACATCAAAAGCTATTGTCTAATTCTGGCCAGCGGGATGTGACAAATCCGTAATTAAAATAGCAAGTTGAGTGATAAAACAAAGCCACTTGCTGGGAGACAGCGAATCCCACTAGATATGGATCTGTCATTAGACTAAAGAATTGTCCTCTGCCTTTTCAGCCTTTATCTCCCTAATGCGGCTACGTTTCCCCAGGATTGGCCTTTTTCAGCTGGAAAAAAACGGCTGATCTCAACGAACGTCCTAATCAGTCACGGCTCGGCTGTTTACCGCATCGAAAATTCGAGGCCACTGGTTCATGCGGAAGATGAACCAATTGCATGACAGCGCTTCATGTTTTTAAATTGGCATCAGAATGACAACGCATTTGCTAACGCTTTTTTTCGTAATGCCCTCAATCTCTCGAGCTTCTTTACAATGGTATGCTTACAGGTCACTGGTTCAACTAGAGGACAACTACAATTGGATGATTTTTATGTCATTTTTTTCATGTTTCTTCCTGCAGTGAGGAAGTGACAGCAGCACTTTTCTATTCTTCTACTTCTACTGTTCAGGTGCTACAGCCTAACAGCAAAGATACAAACAACACAACTAAGATATTGTATATATATATTTTTATATATATATATATATGATATGATATGTATACTGTATATATATATATGACCATGCGACTTGTGCAGCAGGTGATTTCTGATCACATGAAGCTGTTTTAATAGAAGCCAGTCAACAGCAATAGACTGCCCCCCCCCCTCCTCATTATTATTGTTGGAGATGATTTTGAAATGCACATAGCCCAACAGTGAGGAACACTATAAATTACCCAGAGGACTGGTGGGGGAAGCAGGCTGGGACTGACCTGAACTCTTGATTGACATAGGTAAGAAGAAGTGTGGGTGTGTTGAAATTTATGTATGTGTGCTGGTGTGGCTGTTGCTGGACTGAACTATGGAGAGGTCTCTCTCTCTCTGTGTGGATGTGTGTGTGTTTGTGTGTGAGAGAGAGAGAGAGAGAGAGACAGAGAGAGAGAGAGAGAGAGAGAGAGAGAGAGAGAGAGAGAGAGAAAGAGAGACACCCTGGCAGCAAGCTATTCTCCTGGATAAGAAGCTTTCAAGTAAATGAATGAATACATTATAGATTGGTGGCTACGACCATCAATAAAGCAGCCATACTGTGTGTGAGCTGAGTGAAGCTCTTTGGTTGACACGTGACGCTGCAAAACAATCAGACTGAGCAAGGCCAGCAGGACAATGGAGACCCAAGGGAGACCTGGCTGAAGACACTTATCAAACCACAGAGCAGTTGGAGGAAAGTGAGGTGACATATCGGCAGATTCGCTCTACCTACGAGCCACGCTAACAAAACGCCTACATCCACATGCATGCACAGCTTCAGTTCCACTGTTGTACACCTACACACATACGGATATACACATGGATACACAGACTTTTCCTTTCCCTGTGTGTGTATCCTGAGGGTAAAGAATACATTCATATTCAGGGAATGAGCTGCAGAGGCAGAAGCCATTCAGAGCCATTTTGTTTTTCCAGCCGATGGCAGAAAGCAGTGGCCATTATGACCTTGTGATGAATTCAGGGTTCATTTCTCACAGTTTCCTTTTTCATGCATGTACAAAGAATTAAATTAGAAAAAAAAAATACAAGGGATGCTGTATTCTGAAATAAAAGAACATTTGGTAAAGCGTATGTCAAAGCTGCCATCATGCACATGTATGGGCTGACTTTCAATTCCAGGTGCACAGTAATCGGGAGAAAGTTTAATTTGTGTGCACTGTCATTTATTCATTAGCTCACAATCAGATCTCCTGTGCAAGGCATGAGATGTTATAAATCAGTCACCGGCTGGCCATTAACAATTCATGTAATTCATAATACATAAGATTCGTCATTTATTTATCACCTCTAAATGGGATTTCCTTCCTTCTCATTGGTTCCAACTCAGAAGTCAACTTATCTCAGCCTGACCAACGGCCATTTTGAGAGTGAGCCAAGATGTAAACAATGCAATTTGAAGTTGAACAGGACCAGGATAGCCTGATCTGGTGTGCTGCCATCCAGAGAGGAGGAGAGTCGTTTCCCTGACTAAATCCAGTTGGTTTGACTAGTATCATCTGGAAGGGAAGCAGCAGGCGCAGGCTGCGGCTGGCTGCTGGCACAGTTGTTTTCTGCTGATTCTCTTGAGCAGTTGATGTAATTGTGAGTAATTAGGCCTTAAAGTGGTCTTGTCTTTCCCCAACCTGGAACATGAGTCCCGAGGGAGAGTGAGGGTGGTGGTGGTGGTGGTGGGCTGTTTGAACACCACTACCTAGTACAGAGAAGGCAGCTTTTTGTCTAAACAGATCCTATATAAAGTGCCTGGAACTGTGCCACCATATGCTAACACCATACAATCACAATGACTCTGTAGATGACACTGAAATTATGCTATTGCCCCAAGGGCCCTAGCACATCTAATTGTAAAGATAAACAGCAAATTACACTGGAGATGCAATGGTTGGAATGAGTCTCATAAAAACGTGCTGTTTGGTATCTGGTTCTCTGACCAGATGTTGCTATTTTCAATGGAGGTTTGTGTTTGTTAAATGCCTTACAAATTCAGTAAACTGAGCCTCATATGAGGAACACACTGCTGTGATAAAGGAGTGCCAACAAAGAGAAACTTTAAAGAGACTTACGGGTGGTTGGCTTGTTGCAGTTGTGTCCATGTCTGAAGTATTGAGGATTCTCCACCACGGGAATACGAGTCATCCCTATGACAACCGCATCAGGACCCGCATCTAGAGTGCAGGGGGTAATAATCCCATGGTTGACGTGATGCAGGGGGCTGGCAGAGTCTTCCTCACCACTGATCACAGCTACTGGACCTGGAGGAAGAGCAGAAGAATGATGTCTTACTTAACAGTTTAAAGCGTAAACATGGATAATAAGGTAAGGTTATCTGACCTAATTGTATTACAGCTGATCAGTGTCATTGTTACATATGGAAACGCACTTGATAGACAATATAAATCCCAATGCCTGACGTATCATACATATAAGTCAAAGAGTAAAAGTCATCCTTCATTCAAAAATATATTTTGCTCATTTTCCCTTCACTTGGATGTTTTCAGCTTCACTGTACTGAAGGATGTACTGTGTGTGTGGAGTCTCAATTTGACACGTGTTAAAATACCTTCATGTATCAAACCAATCACAGAAGAAACTCTAGTCTGAAAACAGGAAAGTTTACCTGTTGTACACCTGGTTCAGACAAAGAAGACATATAAAGAGCCGCACATGAAGTTGCACAGACTGAAAGGAAGTAATTGATTGGACAGATTTCTGTCTGTCATTCTGCATCTTGTGCAGTGATATTACGGGAGGACACTGTGTTCTGGTACTCTGTAATGAAGAACTGCCAAAACAACACAAGCACAAAACATTTGACCAAGGGAAAATCTTTGCACTCATGTGGATGACACAGAAACATGTTACCGTGGTTACCAAATTATTTGCATAAATATATATGTTGCTCAAACACTTTCTGTTGTTGAGTTCATACTCAACAGATGTATTTAACAGTAATTTATGCTAAAATCATCACATATCTCCTATTATGAAATATGTTTTGCTTTCACACCACAAACAAACTGCACTTTTCAGTCTTGGTGTGGTTGTCTAGTCCAGAGTCCCAAGTCTGACTGACTGCTCTCACACCAGCCCAAACCAAGCAAACCAAGCAAACCAACACACACACACACACACACACACACACACACACACACACCAAATATAAAAGGTGTTAAAGCACCCTTAGTTTTAATTAAAACTAAAAAGTGATGTCAAAAGGGCTTGTCAAATGTGCACTCACACACAATCATCATTTATATTCATTACTCTATAAATACACCCATTCACCTATTCTCTAATGCCAAATCTGCAAAATCACTTACCACATCAAAATACTAATATGTGTTTAAATCATTATCAGTACAGAGCAGCAAGGCTGGAGTTTATGCTGGTTGAATTTATGGTGTCACACAACAAATACCTCATTACTAATAATGTCCTGCCTTTAATCAAAATTCAAAAAGTCAAGATTTGTTGTCAGCCAGTGTGATCCAGTTTGCTGTTCTATCACTGCCGTGTCAAAAGCAACACAGAGCTGTGACAACTGCAATCTTCAGGGAGGAGTGAGAAAGGAAAGAAAGAGGGAGGAGATGGGAGACAGCGAGTGAATGTAAAGTCAACACTAGCTGATTCAGTGGAGCGGTGACAGTGAATCTGTTTACCCACAAAGTTGAGTCTCTCTCTCACCTTGACAACACAGTAAATAGTAATCAAGACTCAGTCATGTCAAATTATAGACCCTCAGCTGCAAGGGGGTGGGGCAGAGGTGGGGTGTGATGAAGTGACACATGTAAGCAGTGATTTATTTGCAACATTCTCTTATGCTGGGTTTTCATACCTGAGCACCCACTTTATTGGAGAGATGCGCACAGCGGGGCACAGGTCTTCACCGGGTGACTACCTGCCCAACCAGTGGGGACAAGACGCAAGCCACAGCTCTTAATCTCTGCTGATGCCTCTGACCCTCCACTGCACCGCGCAGGCAGAGAGACATATGCAGTATACTGTTTCGAACATAACTACACTTGAAATAAAATCATAGAACGTCATGATGAGTCACGGGTAAAAGTCTTTAAAACGTGAAAAGATATCTCAAAAGGATCCTAGTTGTAAGCTCTACTTTTTAATACAATATGAAATGGAATGAAAACCAATCTGATCAGACTGCAGCACCAGATGGATGAGGCCTTGGGGAACGCCTGGCCTCACTCCAAACCACAGCACTCCAAACTACACAAAAACCTCTCACTTGATTTCTTCGGATATGAAGGTTTTCTGAGGAGTGAAGGGGAAACTATACTTCTTGACTTGAGAACATCCTAAAATTGCATTTATGTTACCTCAGTGATGAAAAGGCCCAACGGTCTCTGAGAGGGTTTTTATCATCTGAGATGTTGCCTGTGCACAGAATGGAATTCAGCACTGGACAGTTCCCCTCCAAACATATATCTGAGAGTAAAGTTCCTCTCTATTAAACCAGCTGTGATTTATTCAGGAGAAATGGAAAATGAAATGAGCTAACTTTTGACTATTTTCCATTCTTTTCATGTCTCCTTCCTCTCACAACTTTTATTAGTGGTTTTATGGTTCATGCAGAAGGTGAATTTAGTCAGACCTTGACTGAGATTTTAGATGGTTTTTCAGCCCTAATTTTTCTATTACTGAAGTTACTGCAGTATTAAGATATGGGAGGTGTGATGATAAATACATCCACATCTACCTCAAATCAACATGAATAAATACACACTGACACTGACTTAAGTCCATTGGTCTCTAAGCATCTCAATCATATAAATCGCCTGGCACTTGGATCATTTTTGGGATGTAAAGCACAAAATCTGCATATTTCAGGAATAGTTTCAACATTTTGGGAATCAGAGTAAGATGCAGAGATTTATGCCACTTATGAGGGGAAATCTTCCTTTAGTTCTAAAGTATGGTAAAAGTACTTTGCACCATGATTGCCTTTGATTTTATTAAACCTAACAAACTGAACAGTGAAGCGTACATTGCATGCGTAACCAAAACTATTATTTTTTAACATATTACACTGCCTGTGTCCCTCAGAGTCTATGCACTCATTCATGTGTTTTCATACATGTTCTGATATATCTTGGGTGTCAAGAATTGTCCTTAGACCTTTATCTAAACACATAAAACTTGTTTATGATCCAACCCACCTGTCTATAAAACTTTGTGATAAGCTTTAGCTGCTGGGTCATTTTCAATTCATTCATTCATTTTTAAAAGGCAGAATATTTGTAGTAGCACAGAACATAACAGTGACGGACCACAGACTAGTACTGTCTGGCAGGAAGAAATGTGGCTTATCAAAATAAAACTGCTAATAAAGACAGGAGAGCTGTACTGTGTTCACGATGCCCTTTGAAAATAATGCTAATCCCAGCATTGACGGTAACAGAAATTGTTTGCAGTCTTGTTACCATCAGAATGTTTTATCGAGCTATACAGCAGTAGTGGTATACAAACACATTTCTACATTTCTAGTGGTATTGATCTTCTAATCTAACTCACAGTAAGAAAGCAACTAAGTGCACTAACCAAAAAGTCAAACCTTTGTGAATACAACACAAACTGTCAGATTGTCTAAATAACTCAATGCAATCATCTTTATCGCAAAAATGATCAAGTCAGACAAGACATTCAATCTATAGTTCATGGTTCCCTCTCACCTTATTACCAGCCTCATACACAACTGCATCTCTTACACAAGTTGGGGAGAATTCATCATCAAAGGACACAGCACTACAAGCGAAAAACCAAAATTATTCATTTAACATGTTTAGACCTACAGACAGGATTCCTTCTGGAAATGTCTTAGGTCGCTGTGGCGTGCTGTTATTTGGTCATTAGTTAAATTGCTCACATCCTTCAGTGTTTCGCCTGCCAATCTGTTTCCCCAGCCAACATCCATCAATTTTTTTTTTTTTTTTTGAAATATGTCACTATCGCTAAGATTTCTCCATGATTCTCCAGGAGAGATGTCACTCCAATCGGCATTACTCAAAGTTCCTTCACGGTAACCTTCGGCAATCCAGGAAGTGTTTTATGTTTATGTAAGGTGCAGTTCGCAGGTGCATTAGCTAATTCAGCCAAATCAATTGATCAAGTGTGACATTTGCATCATCTGTTTCCCAGAGTTTAGAAGTCAATCTAATTTACTTTACAGGAGCAGAGACAGCATGGCCTTCCCCTCCTGGGTTTTAAAATGGACCCCTTCATTAAGGTATTGTTGAAGTGCTGGGCCAGCCGGTCTATTTGTGGACCAGGTCTCAATGATGAATTAAAGTAAAACTCCAACCTTTGAACCGGCCACCTGTCAGACACAAGCGACTTTTGTCTCCAGCTTTGTCACCTTGTGAGCATAGTCACACTGAACTAAAACCAGAACAGTTTCAACAAGGAAAATAAAAGTCCCAGAAAAACTTCACACTCTAACTCTTGACTATGTAATTCATTTTATTCAGATTACTTTCTATTTATGAATTTTGCAGATACACGCTGACACATTTACATTTACTAGGCTTCAGATTATCCACGAGCAGGAGATTTTTGCCACTGCAGACACATTAACCTGCACCTCCTACAGGAAAGGAAAGTAATAGCAGCTGCAATTTTTCCAGACATTCGACTATAGACATTTTCTCTTTGCCACCTAGAGGCAAAGAAAGCTGCTGAAAAATTAACACTTGTAACGGGAAAGAAATAAGAACAATGACTGCAGTGTTTTTTTTCCTTTTTCATTTTGAGTATCTGAGTGTGTGCTGTGTCATGTGTAAGTCTAACTTCCAGAAGTAAGTAGTAAAATGACTATCGCCAAACAAAAATGATTGCATTGTATTGTAACCATTCTCTCTATAATGTAACCAGGAGGGCATGGAATACAGTCACCAACAACCAAAGGTGTAATTTCCAGGATGAGGATGGGAGAGACATGTCACCCTCCCTTTTAACTTTAGTTTTCTAACCTTAGTCTCTCCGAGCTTAGTTCTTAAAAAAAAAATGTTGATATGCTTCAGGTATTACTGTGCACTCAGCAGTGAGTGGACTGGAGCGGCAAGTCAGTGCTTTGTGTACTTTTATTGCCCTGGGTTTCGCCTCTCAGGCCACATACAGCAGCTTATTGGTGAAGGGTGTTCAGCTTTCACCGTGTGCAGCCTGAAAGGGATTACCTGCAGACACGACTCTGGGCCGGAGAAAGTTCTGATACTGGCGCAGCAGTGTGTGCTCTTCA